TAGACATTTGCTAGGCAAGGAGCGATGAGGGGGAACACATTGAGCCCCCAGTTAATCCAGCCTGCAAGTCTCTGCCAACCACGTTTGGAGAAGTACTTAGACTTACCCCGTGGAGATTCGGCAAAGCGTCTCATTTTGCAAACAAGTTTAGCTTTTGCTTCTGATGGGAGTGTAATTGTCATGGCGTTTGGATCGACTTCTATACCTATGATGGTTAGCTTATCACCAAAGACCTGTTTTTCGCGTTTATGCGGGATGCCTGATACGTCCCATAGGTTAAGGAGTTTGACTTGGTTGGTGGGTAGGTAGGCATCATAAGGATCATATCTTGACATGTCATCCGCGTCGTTCACTCCAAAGGAGTCATCGTTGAATACAAAGGGGGAGTGGACGTCATAAACTTCTTTTGCTATCCAAGTTACGAGGCTGTTAACTGAGCCCCAGCAGTTTAAGGAAGCCCTGCCTCCGAAACAGTTGCATCTGTCGACATGCCTATTACCATCAATGGTGATGATTTGCTTCAACTGCCAGAGCTTATGCATGGGAATGAGGCGGTAGGCTTCAGCAACGTCGGACTTCCACAAAATGAGTTTTCGGTCTGAGCCCCCACGGATGCGGATGAGAAGGTCTCCGAGGTGCCTCATATTGTCAAGAGGAAATCCCGAGATGAGTTTGTAAGGTACCATAGAATTTAACGAGTACTGCCCTGCGGTCAGGTCTGTGACCAATCGAAGCTTGTCTGAATGTGGCTTTGGCACTGCATAGATGGGGGAACTAGTCATGGATGGGAATAAGCATGGTCCGAATGAGTCAGAGAAGCGGCCCTTTGCAATTTCAACGTCCCTTTGTGCTCGTAGGAAATCTGCCTCTGCAGGGTTTCCTGGCGTTGGCGAAGACATGTCGCAGATGGACGGGTATGAATCGGGATGAGTGTCGGCATATGGCCAGAACCCACATCTCAGGCTGCGGATAACTGAATCTACAAAGGCACGGTTTGGGTGTTCAAGCAAGAGGCATTCAAATTTATCGATGTTGATGGGGGTCACGATCTTAAAAAGGTGGGGCAAACGTTGGAGGGTGTCAAGGGAGCGGGCATTCTCGACTTCGGATTTGGGAGGCGAAGGTAAAGGTTTGGCTGTTAGAGACCAGTCCGCTGTCGTGGGTGGTGGGTCGGAGTTGTGCGCACAAAACCAGAATCGTAAATATTTAGGTTTTTCATCTTTGATGGCTTCAATTCTTGATGCTCTCTGTGCATTCGTGCTTAGGGTGCGGTCCGCTGCATGTTTTGCAGGCGTGCTTCCAATAGCACGTGTTGGAGTCGAAAGGGCAACCTTTGGCGGTGTTCCACCGTTTGCAGAGAGTAGTTTTCCCTCTTGTGGCATTGCTCGGCCGGGAAGTGCCGGATCCGGAAGCTCTTTTGCTTGCGTAATTGATGCCATCGACGTTGAGAGTGGAGTCTCTGAGGTCGGCAAATTGGTGGTAATCTGTGAGTAACAGCCTGGTCCCTCCTCCGACTCTGCTTCTGACAGCTTTGTCAAATGCAATGACTTTTCCGTGAGCGCTTTCGTGTTTGGCTGCGAACAAGTTGAGGATATTACTGATGTGGGTTTGGAACTCCGCATCACGGTCGGGAAAGGCAAACCGGATGGCTTTTGCGTAGATGTTGGCTGCAACAAGCCACTGTCCGCTGTTTTCGACTTTTCGTAACGGAGCGCTGTAACCAAGGACGAGTTCACGCTGTCCGAGACGCCCTCGATTCTCTCGAGGAGCCCCCAAATTTCCGACCGAACTGTAGATCGCGTCGAAACAGGCTTCCTCTCCACGCAGCAGCTTATCCCACTCTGAGGAAGGGAAATCGGACGGGGCTTTTTGGGAGGTGAGTATTCGCCGTTTAACTTCGCTGACGTTGCGCATGTAGATTTCAAGGAGCTTTCGATTCCTGGAGCATCTGGGGTCCCCAACCTCTCTAGCAAGCTTTTCTTGGGAGAACCAGGGCAATTTTCTTTCGTCGAGCTTACTGATCTTTGCTTTGGGCTCGTCATTCTCCTCAACAGAGCTGGAATCGGAGTCGTCGCTTCCTCCGGGAGCAGGTTTAATGTGATGTCTCCTTCTCTTAAGCTCTCCTTCGACTGATCGGACATAGTTATCTGTGATTTTGTCAATGGAGTGTGGGGACATGGATCTACGGTTATTTGAGGTAGCAGGTCGATCCCCTCGGTCTCTGGAGTCGCACTCATCATCTTGGTTGTTACCACGCTGTTGTCTGCTACCAGGTCGGTCTTCCTCTCGTTCTCCGTCAACATCAAGTCCATCACGCGCTTGAGAGTCGCCAGATTGTCCTTCGACAGTCTGGGCAGCTTCGCGGCAAAGTCCTCGACGGCGTTGGGCTCTCGCTTTCTTTTCAATATCGTCGAGCATGGCAAGGTAGTTGTTGATAGTGTCTTGTAAAGCGTCGGGTGGGACTCTGGACTGGTTAGCAGTGTTGACAATGGCTGTGATGGTAACAGGTCTCGACTTTCTGCCACGTCTAAAGGAGTCAATGTGACTTTCGAGTTGTTGAATGATTCGTCTCTCGGACTCAGGCGGAGTAATAGGGGCGTTGTCTGGTGAGCTACCTGTTGAAGGGTCTGATCCTCGTGTTCCAGAAGAATCTGACTGTGGTTCGGTAGTCCAACCACTGGGTCGGGCAGATCTTTCCGCATTAGGTTCACCAGAGTTATTCATGCGTAGCTAGTCGAGCAAATGAGGGTGAAGCTCGAGTAAGGGCGAGCCCGATGAACGCAGTTCGAAGTGTACGACAAATACAACAAATAGTTTGTATGTACTCGCGCCAATCTAGTTAGTTGCCTCAATCAGAAAGTTCCTTCTGCCTGGTGGGCTCACTTACCTAGAGAGTGGTCGACAAGTGAAAGTTCCTTACGGTTTACAGTTTCACTTGCGCCTCCTCTCTAGGCGGCCCACGTGATTGGCGCTAACTCAGGTCTTTGCATTGGTTGTGTAAAAACTAACGTTTTGACTTAACAAAGCTCACTGCACAGTCACAAATGTGGCCTGATGGTCTAGTAGTATGATTCCTTGTTAGGGTCACCCATAGCTGTGTTTAATTCGAGGAGGTCCCGGGTTCAATTCCCGGTCAGGCCCACCCAGAGCCTCTGTGCCTGCTTTTTGGGTTGTAACCATTTTTTCTTGCTGTTCAAAGAGGCATTCTTGCAGAAGCAACGAGGAGACCTGAAGAATCGTGACAATTGCGTCAAAAATGAACATCGACGCTTGAGATGGCGTTTCTGTGACATGAAACGCGAGCCTAGAGTGGTTCTGGGTGGAACAGCACCTGAGGGACCTTCCGCGACAACAATTCCTCCTCCAGGGTGACTACGGGAATCTTCGCTGGAGGGATCTTACTCTGACAACAAAGCACCTTCAAAGAAAACACGATCCCGTACATCTGCGTCATATTTGTGTTGCGCCACAGCATACATTCAAACCAGTGAGCATTGATTGGTTCTACAACCACCCGTATGGAGTTCTAACGAAGTTTGTGACAGTGCATGA